AACTCACACTGGCATCTTTATATGACACTTAAGGATGAAATTCAATTTCTCATGCTCTTAACTGACTGAGCCTTCCCCCTCCTCTAGCTCCATTTTCTTTGGCTCTTTAAAAGTATGATAATCAGTTTACAAAGTTCAAAATTTTGGCAATTACGAAATGTGAAACCATCCAGAAATTCTGATGCTAGTTCACCATAGAAACAGATAATTGTTATATACTGAAAATACATTAGAAAGAATTGAGATATGCCTCAAGAAATGGAACAGGGGGCTGAAGATATAACTCAGTGGTTAAGAACACTGGCTGCTCTTGCAGAGGATCTGAGTTTGATTCCCAGCACCCACATAATTCCAGTTCCAGGGAAATCTGACACCCTCTTTGGGCATTGCATGACATGGGTGCACCTACCTGCATGCAAGCAATACACTCATACATATAAAATAAAAATAAAATATTTAAAAAAGAAATGGAACAGGAAAAGAAAAGCCTTAACAAAAAACTTGACTAACCATCAAATTAATATCTTTATATTTTTAAGAAAAAGAAAAAGAGCTTTAAGAACTGGGGGAGTAGCTCAGTAGCTAAGCATCACCCTTGCATGGTAAAAAGCCTGGGTTCAATCCCCAGTTCTTAAAAAAAAATAAAATAAAATAAGGAGACAAACAACTTCTGCAATGTCCCTAATGCTTAAATTTAAGATACTCCGACAATATTATCATAGCACAGCATCAGTAAAGACAACTCTTATCTATAAATGTGGCAACTGTTAAGCAAAGCCCAAATAGTATTGTAAAGAGTATCCCAAGTCAAAGGAGAAAACATAGAAATGCATGAGAATTTTGTCTATAGAAACGTGAAGCAACATAGATTGAACAAAATATCAAACACCACAAAGTTACAACAATTAAAAGCACTCTAAACCACAAAGATCAATGGAAAAAATATCAAAGGAGCCCATACCCAAGTCTGGTAGGAACTAAGTATAATGAAGACACTTTTAAACCAGTGGAAACACACAGATTAGTCAATACTGCTAGAAAAAATACTAACTATAAAGAAAATTTTAAATGTTTGATTCACACAATTTGAAAAAAAACCAGAATTAAGTTCTAAACCTAAAACAAAATTATTTAATAATTTCCAAAGATATAGAGGGAAAAGTTGGTAACTGCAACTGCAGAAATATTTTAAGCTCTCAAAATGATTTGACAACATAAGTCTCATCTGGGAATTTGTTACAATTCAAAATCTGGTCTCAAGCCCAACTTATTAAATGTGGACCTCTCGGAGTAGGGTCCAGCCAGGTGTTCTTAAAGCTTTCCAGACAATTCTGATGCATACTAAAGTTTAAGAACAGAACTTCAGGCTCTCCCCCAGCAAATAGTGTCTAATTCTGTTGACTTACTAATTCAAAATTTCATTGTCCTAACCTTGAAACCTTGCCTGGCTATAGACTGAAACTGAGAGTGCAGATAGAAATATAAACACAAGTCAGCACTTCCATTACTTTGTTTCCCAGGGATCTTCAATTTACTTCCATACTGGCATTTAGTCACCTGATACTTTGACCATTAATAAATCTACCACACTAGACACAGAACTGACAGCTTTTCTTCAAGAAATTTCACAAGCAGTATATTTACCCTCATGAAAAGGATTCTAAGTCACAGTTTCACATCATAACTAGAGTCAGTCACCCAAGTTAAAAGTCTGTTTCCAAAGGCTGGAGAGATGGTTCAGCAGTTAAGAGCACTGGCTGCTCTTGCAAAGGAGTTTGGTTCCCAGCACCCACATGGTAGCTAACAGCTAAGTGTCCATAACTCCAGTTCCAGGGGAATCCAATGCCCTCTTCTGGCCTTTGCCAGCATTGCACACAGGTGCACCTATTATACATGCAGGCAGAACACTCATACACATAATTTTTTTAAAGTTTAGAAAATTTTAAAGTATATTTCTCTAACTCATTTTCACAGATTTGAAATGTAAAATTACCTGGACTTCAAGGAATGTCTACATGAGAAAAAGACTGAAGTATTAGGCTATTTCAAAGGACAAGGACACATACAGCTTATTGTGAAGCAGTTCTCCCAACTTTAGTTCTAAAAGGATCAAAAAGAAAAATTATTTGAATAGTATTTTACTTCTGATTAACTTTCAAGACTAAGGAAAAAATTTAAAAACATTAAGCACCAGAAGAAATGCACTAGCATTATTTTAAAATTCATTTTCTAAGGAATGGTTCTAGCTACTCAATGATTACTATCATGTATGTTTTCAAGAATATTATAAATTAAAGTGGTTCAGCAAAAAAGACATTTGAGAATTAACATGTGAGCTACCATCTTAATATTCCAATTCGAATTACAAATTTAAAAATTATTTTTTTAATTACTAGTATATTTCACCTTGTAAACTTTTCCACAGAAACTGCCACTTCTCAAGGTATTTTCAAACCATGTGATATCATAATCAAATCTTCTGTTGTTGTTACAGGGACAATGTCAAAAACACTTTAAAATTCTACTTTACTTAAATAATGTCCAAAAAACTTGATAAAGTGCTAATCTAAACATGGGCTGGAGATGTAGCTCACTAGAACTATGGCCCACCATGCACTATAGTGAGGGTTCCATCCTCAGCACAAAGGGAAGGAAGAGAGGAAGGGAGGGAGAGAAAAACAAAACAGTGTTAGTTGCCTATGAAGCAGCAGGTTTCACATCTGGCTGATTTTAAAATCAACTAGAGGATTTTAAAACCCAGTGTCCATGCAGAATTCCAAACCAATCAAATTCAGGAGTGGAATTTCAGCAATGGTTTTAAAGCAGTCCAAGTAATTTCAATGTGCAGGTATATGGCAGGAACCACCCCATATTACATGTGAAACAGTTTAAATGTTGATTTCTTTGTTGTTGTTGATTCTATATGCCCTGTGTGGATGTAGTCCCTGGCAGATCACAGGTGACCAATGAAGAATGCAAGGGGTAGAAAAATGGAAGTGGAAGCTGCCAGGGGAAGAGCAGTAGAAATTTCAAGGGAAGTGCTGCTTCTTACATACACAGACCTGCAGGACAGAGAGAGGTCAAGGTGGAGTGCAGGGGTCCAAAGGAACTACCGGAAAGGACTTACAACACCCCATCTCCTACAAACCAGAACCTCGGGGAACAAAGTGTGTCAGCCCCTCTTCACACAGCACCAAGTAGACCCTGCTAGAAAAGTCAGACGAGAACATCGCCTTTCAACTCAGCACAGCTATGCTGCATTTCGTGACTATCTTCTGTTATTTCACCTCCATTCCTGCCTCTATGTGTCATGATGATTCTGCTTTTGTTTGCATATTACTTTGTTTAAGTTTTAGGACTGTTGTATATGCTTTTCCACCCAGTTTACTGTAAGGCAGTCTTTATTAATACCCACATCTCCTACACTTCCCTTCTTATTCCTTCATCCTTTTTCTCATCTCTCATCTCTTTCTC